CCGAAACCTCAGCAGTTGTCTATCAAATGCGTTGCAAGGATGGAGACTGCAACTACGTTGGGGAAATGGGACGGAAATTGCAGGCCCCCCTACATGAGCACAAACTGGCAACTCGGAGACTAGACCCAAACTCACAGCTTGCGGCTCACATCGGGGAAACTGGTCACAATTTTGATTTTCAGGGAGCAGCCGTCTTAGGCAGGGGCACCTAAGAGAATAGAGCGTCTCTTACTTGAGGCCTGGTACTCAGATGCCAACTCCATCAACAAGCATCTAGACCTTCTTTCGGCCTATAAAATCCTACGTTACTACATACGCCGTGACGAAGACAAGACAGTCATAGGGAGCCTAAGACTACCGAGCAAACACGGCCTTTCGACCAATTCACCCAAAACGGGGACACAAACGCAACTACCCCCAACTGAGGTGACGACACAATACGGGATGCCACCAACACTCACAGGCGACGGCCAGTAGGCCACGGCAGCGAAAGAAGAAAACATCGATCAGCCCAAGGCCAATTAATCCGGCTGTCTATTCAAAATTCTGATCGATTTTCTGTCTACGCTAGTAGGCAAGTGCTTGTCGAGAGGGAACTGCATCGGCATACAGTATGTTGACAGATGCATTATTTTGCAAGTTCTGGTTTCATATTGACCCAACTGTGAAAAACTCGGCGCCTCGGTAGGATTCGAACCCACGCAGTAAGGGGAAGGCTTTAGCACAGCCAACGCTCTAACCACTTGAGCTACGAGGCCCCGCCGGACGACGCGAGTTTAATCACATTTGGGTCAAGTTACAGTAGGTTGGGCGGGTAACCTGACCCAAATGTGATTAAACTCGCGTCGTCCGGCGGGGTCTCGTAGCTCAAGTGGTTAGAGCGTTGGCTGTACTAAAGCCTTCCCCTTACCGCGTGGGTTCGAATCCCACCGAGGCGCCGAGTTTTTCACAGTTGAGTCAATACGAATTATTGAAAATCTGTCAAAACATCTATGAAAACGATGAAAGACGCAACCGATAGATGTTTGCCGGTAGCACCGATGAAAAGCAGTGGGGTTATATCTGTTTGATGTGTTATCTTTAGCTAACTATGGCCCCTTAGATGTAACCGCGGTTGTGTATTTTACCCGTTCAAATCAACGAATGGCACTCTAACACTGCGATTTCGACCTAGCAAGGCAAAGATCACGGTACGCAATCTGGGCCTGAGGCCTGCTTCGCAGTGATGGACACGGCAATACACATTTGGCTGGCATTCCTTTTGGTGGACTCGTCACGCAGTCGTACGCGGTGAACTGCCCACATCATGTCTCACACCACTGAGAGCAGTTCACTCTACCATAACGCGCGAAGGAAATAGGCGCAGCTGTCGCTGACAGGATCAGCATCACGGCCGCAGTTCAGCCAAAAGACTACTTAATATTATTAAGTAACTACTTTTGCTGGCGCAACGAACACCGAAATGTTGCAACTGTCCCAAACGGACTTAAGTAGGGTTGTAATACTAATCCCCATGCAGCATAGTGCCATTACAATTCCGTTACTTCAGGATGACGGCTTTTAAATGAGCTTCTTTCCAGCCGCCTGCGAAAACTTCACTTTGTAAAAAAATAACTAGTTATTTGGTGTGAATCTCTTTCACTGATTCTCAATGCCCTCATAAATCCAAATATGTTTCATAGAAATAATGCATGAAAATATTCATTTTTTTACTCATTTGCCAGAGAATTACGTCTTTTTCAAATTTTATACTTGAAGGGTATAATTCGGTTTCGGAAATCTCCAATTCCCGAGTAATTTTTAACCCGACCCGTCGTTACACTTGCATATAAGGCCTGCAAACTACAAGTTGTATATTTTCCCTGTACGGAAACCCATTTATTTTTCAACGACATAAAGAGAAGACCACATGGGCTTCATAAAATTTGGCTGTGGATTTTAGCCATACTGTAAACATTACAGGCAACCCTAGTAAATGCAGGGACACTAGGCTTTGTGAAGAGGCATTTCACGATTTTAAAAAAACTCATAATTGAAAACTCTTCAAATCCAAATTACACCCCTTCAGGTAAAAACTTTGAAAAGGACGTAGTTCTCTGGCAAATGAGTAAATGAATGAATATCTTTATGCATTCTTCCTATGAAACATATTTGGATTTATATGGACATCAAAAACCAGTGACAGAAATTCATGCCAAGTAAGCAGTCATGTAGCGGCCGAGGACGTCAAGGGTAGCACACACCAAAGTAAGAGAACGCTGAGAGTAGATCCTGGAGGAGATAAATCTGAACAGAGTCGTTAGCATCTCTGAATACTCATTCCCACGGAGCAGAAGAGGGTATGTCAGGAACGGGATACGGAAAAGTATAACAAGACAGTCACGGGAGGTACGTATAATAAGAATAGTTACTCGTACAGTTGGAATGAGTTACAGTCATCAGATAACCTGTCTGGGTGGAGAGGCGAGGCCAACATGTCAGCTGAAAAACCGGTGGGGAGCGCAGCGCTGTCGGCAACTGCAGGGGAGGGCCGAGGGAGATGCCGATGTAGTGAGACAGAGAGCGATGCGAACGTTGCGGTACGGTAAGGGGGAAGGGATCGGCGGATGATAGAGGAAGGGACACCGGCCATCTTCACTGACACGCGGTTACGCCATCTCCACCCTAGGTCCTCGCGCGGAAAAGTGTCACGCATTCAAACAATTCTGTTCAAGTCCAGGGGCGTTACAGTCACTTTTTACAAAGTGAAGTTTTTTGCTGGCGGCTGGAAAGAAGTTCATTCAAATGCCGGCATCCTGAGGTAACTGAAATGTCTTAGGATTATATTGCATGGTGATTACTATTACAATCCTACTTAAGTAATCTTTTCGTGTCGAAAACGCATTAAAGAATTTCGACTAAAATTTCATGAGTCAGAACATCTACTGTAGGTGAGTGAACGCCACGCAAACAAATCTTCAGACTTGCCTCGACACCCGGATAATTCAACCACCACCACCACAAACGAGGTTCCCCACTGTCGTTAATTGGCAGTGGCGATTCGCGCTTGTTTGCAAGTAGGCTGATTTGTACAACATCGATCCCACTCCTAAGGGAAATTAAACAGGACTGGAGAAGGGTATGGATGCAACGGCTGATGACCCAGTCTCAAATGCACGCGAATAGAGCTTCGAACATGGCGGCGCAAATTGGCATTAAGTACAACTTTATTATTATTATTGTTGTTATAACACTGAGGGGCAACTGCAGTCTGACACTGAAGGTCAAATACGCAGCTAGCTGGTAATTTCTTAAGTCTTGACAACCAATGCATAGTGGTGGTCCAAAAGCGAGTTTTCTTGAGGCAATCTAGGCGCTGGGTCCGATCTGGACTAACTCCCAACCCTATAGTGCCAGTTTCTCGTCGGAGTCAAGTCGACAGATGAGGCGCAGCGGCCGGCGCGACGAAACCTACGTGCGAGATGTAGCAGTATGGCCTTCAGGAGCCACTTGTCTCGTCAGCTGGCAGTCTACCATTTCGCAATTACCGTTGTGCAGTGGGCCACTTGCACTGAATCATCACTCACCTGCCCTCTCCCATACACCAGTAGCACATTTGAGCTTATTAATCGACCGGTGGAGTTTGAAACAGCCGGTTGTATGAATCCACATCTGGCGTACCCCCCCCCACTCCCCCACGCCCCATGTCTGTTTCAACCGAGAATCGGAACGGATTGACTAATGTCCAAGTTCTGCCCCAGGGGAGCCACCTCGAAGCACCAAAAAGCCCTCCTAGCTATCAACTGGCAAGAGACGCAACGCGATCCTGTGATGTGCGTGTAATGATCAATTAATATTGCGCGCGAGGCAACACACCCATTTAATGAAAAGTACGGCGTGCGCGACAATATGCTGGACGTAAATTCTCGAAACGGAACTTTTTAGCACTCTCTTGTTCCGAATCCGCCCGAGAAGCACCAGTCTTGGTCGGATATGCCAACCGACTGACTAAATCTCGTTCCTGTATAAGAAGTAGGGGAGAATCAGTTTAAGCACTCCCTTAAGCAATGCAATCATCCACTGCTCGGGAGAAGTTTTCGGGAAGTCCAAACGTGCTTGAGTTCTCCGGCGTTGTTCGATTGGTCACTGGTCCCAGTGCCTTTTAATAAACAAGGAAACCTGGAACTTATCGAATTTCGCCAAGTCCTAGTTACTGTGGCCCAAACACACCATTCGCAAGCGTTATGGAGTCCGTGCAGTACTTTGCAATAGGTGTGTAGAGGTGTGCTGTGAAGGTCGCAGTAGGTCGCATCATTTGACCCTGGCAGGTTGCTCCCAACTCTCACATGTGGCCCCTGGAAGTTGGGTTCTGCCTAGCGGCCACACCCCCGGTAACCGCTTCGACCGCTGAGCTAAAACAGGCGAGGGTAACCGGTGTAGTGGGTGTCGCCACACCCGGTAACTCCGCTTCCCTTCCCATCCCCCCTCCCACTTCAAATGTCCTACAGAAAGAGCGACATGCAATCCTATAGGCGGCTCAAACTAACTCTGATCGCCCTTCCAGTAAACGGGTTTGTGACTCATAGTGGGGTCCGGCAGCCGTCTCGCGGTCGAAACACTGAAAGAAGTAACTCTCTTTGCTGTCTCTCTGAGTGTTTAGACCGCGAGTTTTGCATCTGCGAGCCACAGTCCGCTCACTCTGGCAGTCTGGAATGTTCGTTCTCTTTTAGACAATCTGAGAAATAACCGATCGGAATGTAGGACGGCACTAGCCGTTCGAGAACTGGCGCGATGAATGGTGGCCACCGCTCCCCTCAGTGAAACCCGCTTCCCCGAACAAGGCCAACTGGAGGAAGTGGGTGCTGGCTGCACCTTCTTCTGGAGCGGCTGCCCAAAGGTTGATCTACGAGACACCGACGCCGCCCTCGAAGTCCAGAATGACATTGTGAGACGACTGTCCTGTCTGCCACTGACCATCGACCGACTGATGACCCTGCGCCTGTCTGTTCGGAAATCCAAATTCGCCATCATCGTCAGTGTCTACGTCTCCCCTTACCCGCAGCGACCAGCTCTAACGAGGCAAAGACCAAGTTCTACGAAGATCTGCAGGCTCTCCTGGCAAGTGTGCGGACGGCAGGAAAGCTGGTTGTCCTTGGTGACTTCAGTGCCCGCATCGAGACACTGTGCCGCCTAGAGGTAAGTGCTGCGTGCCCACGAAATCACCGGCTACACCGACAAAGGTCTGCTCCTGCGAACCTTCGCAGAATACCGCATCCTTCTGACCAACACCTTCCGCCTGCCGACGCGGAAGGCGACCCGGGGTGCACCCCTAAACGCGATGCTGGCAGCTGTTGGGAGCACCGACTGCGGGAGGTGCAGGACGTCTAAATAACCCGCAAAGCCGGGGAAGTCCGAGGGTATGCCGTCCGCACTGAACTCAAGGACTTCTTCGCACTACTCAAGGCGATATACAGCTCCCTAAGTAAAGGAACTACGCCACATCTCAGCTTCGACGCAGAAGTCGCAAATTCTGAAGCGCTGGGTCTCAACCGCCCTTCTACAATCTCCGACGCTGCCGTCGACCGACTACCACAAGTCGGAATGAATGACGACCTGGATCCGCAGCTTTCTCTCCCACAAAACAATCTGCATCGTGCACCAACCGTCCAGTGATGAAGCTCTGGAATCTAACGCGATTCCGGCCTAGGTCTACGAACACGGTGACCCTCAGCTCACAGATCAATTCACGACGGTATTCCAGATGTGGCTCCGGGGACAAGTTACTTAGGACTGCAAGCGCAAATGTAACCGGCAACTAGGCGATAATTACGGAGGAATCTCGCTGCTTAACATCGCCGGAAAGGGCTTCGCTCGCATCTTTCTCTGTCGTCTCAATGTCCATCTCGAGCAAGGACTTCGTCCGGAAAGCCAGTGCGGCCACCGCCATCACCGCGGAACCACCGACACCATCTTCGCCGCCCGCCAGCTGAGGCATTTGCAGCAAACGGTGTGAGGCAGGGCCGCGCACTCGCCCCTACCCCCTTCGGCCTCATGTTTTCCACCACGCTGATGGATGTCTACCGCGATGAGCGCCGCACCGCCCGCAGGACCGATGTGCATTTCAACAGCCAGCGCATGCACGTTCCGACCTGTCCCCTCGCGACTACACTCACGACCTGATCCATACAGTTGACTGTGCGCTCCATAGCGTGTCAGACGCTGACGACGGGTGTGCCAACATCGTACTAACCACCAATACGGACAAAACGGTAGTTATGCACCAATCGCCACCCGTCGCTCTATACACTGTTCCTCGCATCCCCGTCAACAGCACCGAACAAAAGACTGCGGACAACTACGTTTATTTAGCCTCCACACTCACGCTGCATCCAGATCGACAAGGGAAGAGCTTATCTGATTTCCAAAGTCAGGTCAGCCTTCGGCCGGTTGCAGAATCCCGTATGGAACCCTCACAGGCTGCACTTGGGCACCAAGCTGGAAATGCACAAGGCCACCGTCCTGACGACACTTTTGTACGGAGCGGAGGCCTGGACCACCTAACCTAGCCATTCCAAGAAGCTAACCTACTTCCATTTCAGCTGCTTTCGAGAATACTGAAGCTGAGGTGGTAGAGCAAGACCCCGGACACGGAAGTCCTGGGACGGAACGCAATTCTCCGTATCCGCGCCTTGCTGAGGCAACTGCAACCGCGATGGTGCGGTCACCTAGTGAGAATGGACGATGCACGATTACCCACACGACATTTCCACGGAGATGTTGCTACGGGTGTTCCGCGAAAGAGAGGACAAAAGCGACGCTTCAAAGACACCTTGAAGAACTCTCTGAAGCGACTGCATATCAACCCCGAGACCTGAGAGTGCCTCGTACAGAACAAACTGGCCAGGAAGAAAGCACTGACTGACCCGGCGATTTAGGAAGCGAATCAGATCGCCCCCAAAGCCAAGAGAGGAGCTTGCAAGTCTCTGGCGCCCCTGACCCGCAACAAAGCCACTCAACCCCACCAAACGCGCACCCGCGCTGTCGACGAACATTCCGCGCGCGAATCAGCCTCGTCGATTGTCTTCGGACCTAATGCACTGACCGCCCGACGGCCACAACTACTGTCTCCAGGACCGCCCCTGCTCCAACCAGCACGAAATCCACGAGGGCACCCACGTTCACTGCCGTCGATCCGAATCCCCGTGCCTCACCGCCACTTCCATCATCTCTGCCACAATCACCGTGGCGACGACACTACAACCATTTCTTCCACCCCTCGCCACCGACCGAAACGCTCCTGACACCCCGTCAATCACTAACACCTTTACCACCCACACCTCCAGCGATAAGGACTCGGTCCTAACCTGTCCCATTCCAATCACACATTCACTTCTCGCATGAGCCTGGTAGGTCACATACGAATCCATCGCACTGTGACCGACACGGCAGTGCTGAGAGCCCTGACATACACCCGTCGCATCCGCCTCCACTGTCCACACACATCCACTAGCCCATGAGCCTATTCGGTCATATGCGCACCCACAAAAACTGAGCTCAGCGCAATATTGGCGCGTCCAACACACGCTGCGCAACCGAAAACGCTCTCGTTTCCGGCACAAACAACTCCCCATCTGCCGACACGAACACGGCTAACAGCCTCAACCCATCCGATTCTACAGCCCCGAACCCATAGTGTCCACACTGCCACCGCACGCGTACGTCACGCATCGGCCTGGCCGGTCAATTGCGGGTCCGCCGCAGACTGGCGACCCAGCGCCAGGAGCATTGACATACACTAGCCGCACCTGCCCCAACTTCTCGATATTGCCTACGCCCATTCATTCATCGCACGAGCCTACTAGGTCACATGCGCCCCTGTGAAGACCTGAGGCAAAACACCGCAGACACGACCACACCACACATTCCTCACCAACACGTGCACCACCCATACGCCCCTCCAAAATCCCGCACCACTGGCACATTTCATGTAGGTGGAAGTGTGCTGTTCGGCTTCTTTCTCCGTGTGGCTCCCCTGCTGCATGTGAAATTCGAGCGTACTATCGCCCTCGTGCGTTAAATCGTGGTGTGTTTGGGGGGCAGGTCGTCCATGTGGCGCGGCACACGGGAACTTTGGCTGTCAGCCGTTGCGCTCACTTCCAACATCAGGCATCTAACCTGTCCGAACAGTGCGAAAAGAGCTAGGTGGGCGGTTCCGGTGCATGTTTCTCACTATAAACAATCTGAAGAGCTGTCATCCATTACAGAGCGCTAAAAATCGTGACTTGGAAGATTGCCAACTGAAGGCATAAATCGTACCTCGCAGTCAGCATAATGTGTCTGTGGGATGGCCGACTGAACGGTGAGCTGCAATTAATCCTTCTTAATGTGGCCTCCATGGCGCTCACACCTCTTGGGATCCGAGCCGGGCGTGTCGGCACGCCTAGGGGTAGTCCCGGCCACCTACGCCCTCCTCCATCCCCGGCCTTATTAAATGTCTCGATGTCGAACCCAGGTGGGGAAGGGGAGATGGAGGTAAACGCAGCGAAAGTCTACTGTCACTATAAACTAATTTACGCGTGTCACCGTCCCTGATTTCGTAGGACCTAAGCCGAACAAACTACCTGGGTCAATGTTAAAGCCTTTGCATCATGTCAGTACAGGTGTAGTTGACGTGTGCAGAACTGCACGGATACCTGTAGGTTTGCGTACAGTACTCCTCGAACTCCCGAGTGTAGACAGTATATAAATTTCTAAAAACAGTACTAACTACCGAACGTAGACGGACAAGTCAACTTTCGTCAATCTCAACGATGACTTCTAGCCATCAATTATGGCCATCTAAATGCCGCTATCACTCAATCCAAAGATGTATTGAGGACTAATGTGCTGACGGTGTGAAAAAAAAACAAGACAGACAAAGTGGTGGACACAAAAGGTCGCCAATAACGAGCGAATGGTGTCGTCGACAGGTGTTTCAGTCGGGGTTTCTAGTATTCCCCAGTTACCTAGCTAGGCGCCACCATGCATGCATAGAACGCGACTTAGATAGCTTAAACGCAAAAAAACTAAATATTTGTGGCCGACAGTACATACCTCTCTACGCAAACATGGTCCTGTGGGCAATATTGCAGAAATGGTGAGATGAACTAATGTCAGTATTTGGTTGATTGTAATCAGCCCTGAGATTTGGCACGACTCCAAAAGGTATGAACGGTACTTCGGGAACGAATGACGAAAACGGCTGGGCTTCCTAACTATTGGAAGTATTTTTAACCACTACGGATGGTGCGGTTGGAAGCGCTTGAGATGACTATGGGCATGCATGAGTGGGAAAAGTAGACATGTCGGGATTTCTTTACTATGCACGCGAGATCACGATTGGCAATGGCGCCGTCGGCGATCAAAAGGGAAGACTGTGGACCTCAAGGGTGAGTAAATAGGATTATAACCGATATTTTAAGGTTCTCCTACCTTTGGGAGCATACTTTAGCTTTACCTCAACAGCGAGAGAGCAAATACTTTCCGAAACATCGCTGCCCGCGCTATTGAGGATAATCAAGACTTCGAATTGAACAAATACGACAACCCGACCCACGCCTACAAACAGTCGCGAAGAAACACAATGAAAGCGCAGTAGTTGATACTGTAAGGGTACCATACAGGCGGGAGATGACCGGGAGGCATCGCCGACAGTCCTAACCCAGTTAGTTACACCGAAAGCTAACCGTTGGAAGACTGGGAGAATGTTTGCCTGTATGATCCAAAAGGATAAACATACACCCTTGATACTTATATCATAAAGCCGGACCAGAAACGGAAGCCGTAAACCAGAGGAAACAGTGTAAATTCAGAATAGAACGACTCGCGGCAATGTGTTCGCTGGCAAATGCATCCCA